ACGGTTAAACTCCATATGAAGTGGTGAGGTGCCGCTCCACATTGCTTTTCTTCCCGACTGCAACGCTGTGTGTGTGTGTGTGTGTGTGTGTGTGTGTGTGTGTGTGTGTGTGTGTGTGTGTGTGTGTGTGTGTGTGTGTGTGTGTGTGTGTGTGTGTGTGTGTGCGTGCGCTCGGATTGGCCATCGGGAGATTCGGGACTTTTCCCGGTGGGCCGCTGCCTTTGGTGGGCCACTGGCTCTGACATAGTTGGGTCGTGGACTTTCACAGCGCCGGTACCGCACCCGCCGCCGCAAACACCCGCCGTTGCGAGGTTCCGGCGGATCTGGCGCTGTGAAAGTCCACCGCCGTTGCGAGTCTCCGGCTGTAACACTCCACTAACGCCCGCGCGGACCCAAAAAAATACAAATAAAACTTTTTTTTTTAAACTCCCGTTCATCGCGTCCATTCGCGACCCACCTATCACATCTCTGCGCCCCACACTTTGAGAAACGCTGCCTTAACTGATCATTTATTTCCATTTCAGACGGAGCACAACCTACCGAGGAACACGGAGGAGGCGAGAAGATGACCGGATTGCGGTAAATGGCTATTTTTATTGTCGCTTTAAACTCAAATGTATTTAAAACATATGAACCGTTTTGTGATATTTTCTGTTTGCTCAATTTCCCTTCCCAGAGGCCTGCACCGCTAACAGAGATCAAGGTTTCTCAACCGAAGTTTGACTTGGCCGCTACCAATTTCCCACCACTTCCTGGCTGCGTGGTCAGCACACAGGGAGAGCCAGTGCTGGAGAACCGAATGTCAGATGTTGTACGCGGGTTGTACAGAGACAAGGTAAGAAGAAATGAACACCAACGAGTTGTAAATCTCTTGTCTGCATAGAGCATTGTTGAGGTTGAGGTTAATCAAAGGTTTAATGTGCCTGTCTCCTGTGTTTTTATAGACAGAACAAGCCAATAAAGAAGCCACTGTGAGTCCAGCTTCGGGCCCACCACCAGTCACAGAGGAGGCTGTGGCGGTCTCCAGTCCTGCCCTGCCAGCAGCCAAACCTGCTGCACTCCCACTCGGACCCCCCGTCCCTGGGTAAGACGAAGACAATTTAGCTCAGAATAATCTAACACCTTCGTTAAAGTCAATTTGAATGTCTGAAAGTCTTGTTTTTCTTCAGTATCCCTCGTCAGGAGAAGAGGGTTGGACGGGCGGAGCCTCCAGCTCCAAAAGTGGCTCCGCGCACGCCAGTTCAAACTACCGTAATCCCACCCCCCACCACACAGCCCGTGCCTAACCCCAGGCCTCAGCCCCCTGCTGCTGCTTCTGTTGCGGCTGCTGCTGCTGCTCCTGTTGCTGCTGCCCCCGTCACCTCCACACCAGCGACTCCAAGCACGCCGGCTCCTGCTGCGGCCCCCCCTCCTCCCAGCGCCACACAGGTGAGGATGTGGTTCTGTTTGACAGCCTGCTCTAGAGCTTAGCTGTTTTCCTGATGATGAAAACATGTTCGCATAGAGGGAAGTCAGGTAGTGGACGGACTGGCTTTGGTTCTCTCCATTCTCTCTACTTGTCACTCTCCTTCAGTTTCTCTCTTTATCTCTCTCTCTGCCCTTTCCAACCAAACGTCCAGGATGTTCACTCCTACCCCGATGAGCGTTAAGATTATGAGATCTGAGGGTTTGACGAAGGAAATCAATAAAGTTGATCAGTCACCTTTGCACGTTTTCTAAAACTGTGTTTTTTTCCATGCCTTGTTCAAGGAGCCACGCAAGCTCAGCTACGCCGAGGTGTGCCAACGGCCACCCAAGGACCCTCCACCTGCGGCCCCTGCCCCAGTTTCCACAGGCACAGCGTCTGGCCAGCCGCTACGCGAGTTGCGCGTGAACAAATCTGAGGATCAGGGCTCCGGAAGCGTTGCTGGAGACAAGCAGGAGAAGGTCCATGACAGGGAGGGGGGGTGGGAATGCAAGGAGAGCCGACCTCCACGTGATCGTGACTCTCAAGGCTACTACCGCAGCAACGGCCCCAGAGGCAACGGGGCCTTCAAGTTTCGGGAACAGAGGCGCCCGCCTCCAGCCCGACGCAGCTCTCCGCAGGGAGGCTACAGGCACACTGGCAAAGAGCAGAATATCCCTCCAGTATCGCCAAAGTAAAAACTCGACATGAATAGAAAAAAGATGTTTGAATATATACATGGATATATATAATTATATATAACAATGAATAACATAAAAGCAACAACATAATGGTAGCCACCTTCCCCCTGGAACTTGTCCACAGAAAAGCTTTTTAAAAGACATTAAGACCGGGACATCCAGGACCAATGGGCAAAATGACACCTGAAGAACTTTGATGAATTATTTGAAAAGGAAACAAAAATCTTGTTTTGACCTCCAGCATTATGCTTAAAAGAATTGTAAGTGTCTGGAGGAAGTCCCATTTACGCCCTGCTAGGGAGAGGTGGGATGCTGAGCCTCATAAATGGCTCGCTATCTTTTTCTTTGATTTTAAAGAATAGATGTCTGCAAGAACAATATGCACTAAGAAGAAAAGAACATGCATATATGTCATGTACATATACAAAGATATCACTAACACGCAATGAGACATCAGTTTGTTTTTTCCGTGTGTGCTTAGGTTTGCAAGTATGACTGAAAGGTTGACTGATGTCTGTGTATGCATTGATTGTTAAGCAATTTGATTGAAGTGCTACAGTGTGCTGCTGCACTGATGTAATGAAATTAATGATGTTTAATTTTTACATCAGACTCACAATCATTGTCCTGAAACTGGACAGTGTGGCTTCTAATGTATATTAATGAAATGTGTTCTATGGTGGTATTTTGATCCTGGTTCATAATTGGCTAAAATTGTATCAGTCGGATATCAGAAAGTGTCGCTGTACGCCACAGTCAAATGTGTGGTTTTGTTTGAAGCCGAAATCCACTTTGGGGTTCTCACTGGCCCGTTTTCCACCGTTAACCCGCTAGCCTGGTCCAAAGTTTTTCATGTTTTATCTTTATTAATCTAAAACTGTTTTGGTTATGGATTCAGAACATTGTCATGTTGATAATCAGTCAGGTTCTGTGTTTACATGTTTGTTTTGGTAGTAGGGTGACGTTTTCAAGGAGGAAAAAATAATAGGTTAATAAGATTTGACTGTTCAGTGCGCCTGGTTAAGGTGAGGTTTGGCTTTTCTACATCATCAATGGATATCCAGGTTAAGCTTATATCTGTGAATTGTTCTTAACAATGGCATAGTGTCAAAAATAGTCTGAGGAGTGCTGTTAGCTGAGGATGATAGCTACATGATATCTGGCAGCCATGTCGTGGTTATAAAGAAAATTGGAACATTTTCACGTGCTATGTGCCAGCTGCCTACGATCATAGTGTGCTAGGATAACGTTTTGATTTTTATTGACAGGTCTGCTAAATAATGTAGTCTTGGGCAAACCTTTGGCCCAGTGAAACTGGATTTTGAAGAAGCTGTAGAGGTGTAGTTGCCTACGCTATATTTCGATTACCCTTCACTAGAAAATGTGTGTGGGAGAATGTAATTGTTCTAGTACTGAATTAACAGAGAGAGGCTTTTGACAGCACCTATCCACCATATTGTTTGTGCTTTTAGGGTGAGTTTGCTGGTTTCTTTCATTTCCTGTTTTTTTTATTTTCTCCCTTTTTTTATTTTTGAAAAACAAAAGGATTGACTTAGAAGTTTGACTCACTGTATGTATTGCTTTTTAAATGTATTTATTTTTAATTCTGATGCACAACGCTTTTCTCCCAATCTTGGTAGGCTGGTTTCCCCAAAGTTGTGTGAAATCGCATTGGCAAAAAATAAAATCACGCATATGACATTTATATACTGTTGGAGATGTCAGCTGAGCAAACATACTTGATGCATTGACTTTTGGGTTAGTAATGCAGTAAAATGAGTAACCAATCACTGGGGCTGTTATTTTTGAGTATGAGCAGCTAGTGATTTAGTATAATTAAATACATGCACTAACTTGTTTTTAAAAAGAATCTTACTCATAAGTAATGTGAAATCATTTTAGAAGCATATGGTTGATGTTAACATGCTTGCAAATTCCAGGATTACAGGAATTTCCCCCCCCCCCTCCAAATGTTTGGATTATTTTCTGTTAATTTGGGTTGGGGTGGCAAAAAGAAATATACTAATGGATCAACCAAGTGTTTGAGACACAATCCTAGAACTGTATGAAATGTCACCAAAAAATAAATTATTTTGATTTGGCTTTCCAGTGTCACATTTTCTTTTGTTTTACTCATTTATACCATGCACATTAATGTTGGTTGCTGTTATTTTTAGGATGTTTTTTTATATAGTTGTGTTGTATAATGTAAAATGAATATCTTCATTGTTTTTGTCCAATCATTTCATTTCCATATTGCAGACAAAACAAAAGTATCACTTAATGGACTAAAAATATCAAATACTCCCATAGCAAAACAAATCTATTCAAATGCAGTTATTATTTCACAACTTTCTGATTAATAACTAGTTTGGATATTAAATCTACAAAAATATGTGAAAGAACGAAGTGTTTATTTCTTATATGAAAGACCCAAAGTCATGACAAATAAAAATGCAATGAAACTTCCATGTTGCTTATTAGTTCTCCCAAAACGACACACCTGCAATTAATACAGTAAAAAGATTCAAGGTAGCCCAATTTATATATTACAATGGTTCCATACAAAATAAATCTAGAAATGATACTCTAACTATTAAAGGGTATTACACCTATACTACAACCCACAGCGGATAAGGTAGATATGTAATAAATATACTTAACTAAATTCCTCCTCAGGTCCTCCTGCGTAATAATACAACTTTTAACAAAATAGAGTATGATTTTCCATTTATGTTGTGTGCCCCTGATCAATTTGTTGTAATGTCTTGAATGTGTAATATATTCATATATCTGTGTCTTTGCTGTGCACCAGGGGTCCTGACAGTGAATAGTGAAGCCACTTGTTTTCCTGTACCTTAACATGGTCATGCGCTCGAGGCATTCACGGCATGTTGGAGGCCACATCTATTTTGGGAACGCAAGCACACTTTTTAAAGACATGCCTTCCAGTCAGACATCGTAAACAGCCGGCGTTTAAATAAAAGCATCAAGTTATGTGAAGTGTTTTCGCAGAGTTAGGCGACCTGTCGGGTTTAAAGAGAGGGACGGAGGGCGTGGCGGTGGTGACGTGCTGTGTTTATGGAGCCGAGCAGCTAACATACGGTAAACTGTCAGAACTTCACACCGTGGACCCACAACGGTACGTTCTCTCATTAGCATCAGTCATTTATACATGGGTGATGCGAAGATGGGTTGAAAGTGCGTTCACGAGTATTTGTAGTGAATGTCACTTGATTGTTTTTCGCCTACGTCGACTGTTCCTCTGGATGCTAACGTTAGCTCGTATGCTAGCTAACTTGGTGCTAAAGGTAGCTGCTGAAAATGTTTTAGCCGAGGATATTTTCTGCTCAAAGTCAACTGGCACGTGTGTTTTGTACTTACCTTTTATTGATTATGTTTTAAACACATGTCACTGAGTATTAAACGTGCATCGCTGTTTATGTTATTCTGTCGTGGAGCATATTTTTGTCAAGTGAGCTAACGATAGCTGTAAGTGACAGTCAGTTGTTTCCGTGTACTAAATGACAGGCTGATATTCTGCTGGCTGTTTCCTATTGAGCAGAAACAGCTAAACATATGCATCGCCAAACTACAGTAAAAGCAGACACCATGTAGTCTACCTGTGCTATGCTGTCCTGTCAGTATTTATTTTTATATATTCAGTCTATGGTATTTACCTAACAACAAAAACAATATGATAAAAAAAGAATAACGGGACACAATTATTCAGTTCGTCAAATGTTGTTTGTGCTCATGTATCTAATACAATACATATGTTTTAATTATCATCATACGTTAATGCATGGAATTGTGATCTTGGAATGAGTTTATAGTAATCAAAATGTTTTGTTATTTGACACGTGCATTTCGGAAAACAGGAAAACTCCCAGATAAAATTAGATATTGCTAGACCAGATATTCAATAAAGCTCACATTTCCCGATCCATTTATGTACAGCCAATGTAATTAAAAAAGGACTTTGTTACAGATATCTAAATGCTTACATACATTCTGTTCTTGTATATCTTAGTCTATTTTACATGCATATAGACTTGATCATTTTCTTTAACATAATCTTGAACTATTTTATTTGTACTCTATTTCTTCCACTATTTTTATAGTTTTTTCTCAAAATGTTTTTAATTGTTTTATGTCTTGTTGGAGGAACCTGGGACTTGACTCATTGCCATAACTACATTGTAACTACTGTGCATATGACAATAAAGCCTTCAAATTAAATCTTGACACACACTAGAAACTAAAAAACACTATCTTTTTGGAAATTCAGTTAAACATTTTGCCGGAACCATTGCAAATCTATGTTAAAGCATAATTAAATTGTGTTGTGTGACATGCACTCTCTTCCAAAACGTTTTTAAAAAGATCTAATAACCCATAAAACACTAGCCTTGAGGTAATTAAAACATTTGTTTTTGTTTGACTCTTTACATTTTTGTAAGACCCAAGAATCACCATTGTTTTAGAGTTATTAAACCAAACTCATTAAATTGTGTGTTTCAGTGTTCAGTGTCACCCTGGCCTGGGTGCCATGGTCCTCAGTTACACATGAGCTCTACTATGTGGTACATCATGCAAAGCATTCAAAGTAAATATTCCTTGTCCGAGCGGCTCATCCGCACCATCGCAGCCATTCGCTCATTCCCACACGACAATGTGGAGGATCTCATTCGTAAGGTAGGCCTCATCTTCTAGTCCAACTTCAAATTTATAATATTTGTGAATGTTTTCAGTTATATTGACATTTTCTATCTCCTGTATACCCCAAGGGAGCTGATGTAAACCGGATGCATGGCACTCTGAAGCCCCTGCACTGTGCCTGTATGGTCGCTGATGCTGACTGTGTGGAGCTGCTGTTGGAGAAGGGCGCAGAGGTACGTCATAGATTATTCCTACACACTGAACAATACCTGATATCATACACCGATTATAGGTTATTGTTCTACCCAGGGGCGTAGCTGGGGGGGGGGAGGTTAGGATGATTCCAAGGGCCCAGCACTGGGGGGGGGGCCCAGAGAACACTATTATTATCTTTTTATTAATATGGTTTTATTATTATTATCCTAAAGTAAGTTAATGTAAATGACTCAAAANTTCTAAACCCGTATTCTTTTTGTTACGTTATGTCAATAACCCATAAAACAAGTAAGTGAATAATAAACGGTCCTATTTCTAGAATATCAATAATGACATCGAAGTCGAATTCAATATATGGTAAAAACGTGATTGTGGATAGTATAAATATATTTATTAACCTTCCGTTTACGGTCAATGTAGAGATGAAATGTATTCTCTCTTTTTCGTCCTGCATTTATTGTGCCCCCCTCCGAAAATAACTGGCTCCCCAGTGGCCCCCCCAGTCAAATTGGTCTAGAACCGCCACTGCACACCGGTGTGATCATTCTATAATACACCGTTTAAGCCCGGATGCCCCCGGGGGAGACATGCTAATGCTAACGCTACATTAGCATCGGCGATCTTTTCTACTTCATGCTATCTGCACAAATGGTTGACATTGAACATTAAAAAGATCAGACAGTTCAGGGAGAATTGAAGGAAGGCAGGCAGCTTTGCATGACATTCTTCTGGACGTGTTTCATTTTGTTGATAGTGAGGGTAGTCAATCCCTTGTTTGGCAAGACAGTAGTGCCGGCCATCTTGGTGACGTGTGTTGTTGTGCGAGACCAGAGATGTAGTTCATTGAGCGGTTCCACACAAAAAAAGTCTTACTTCACAGTTTTAAGGCAAAAACATTTGTTTTAACTTGCAAAATTATCTTTTAAATTAACAAACATCATATGTGTAATTCGTGGCACAATTTAAACGGGATCGAAAGATAACTTTTCTCTCGCCATTGACTTCAATACATAATTTTTTCGAAATAAGGTCCCATGGAGGTCCACCGGAAAGGGAGGGACTTCGGCTCTCTATAAAGCCCACCCATTTAGAGGGAAGATATGATCGGTCAATTGTACTGTCATTTGAAATTACTCTCTCTCGTTGAGTTACTATAGAGAGGCAGTAATAGGTTAGAATTTTTCGCTCGCGGCTAATTCAAAGGCTCACTGTTAGCATTGTTTGTTTTTTTGAAAAAAAAATGAAAAAGATCAGTTAAATTTAGTTTTTTCCCGTTATATGGATATAAAATATTCATAGTTTATTAAATATTAAGGTTCCTTAGACGTTGTTTCCTGCAAATGACGCGATTTCGGACCCGGAACCGGTTAACATTTTGGGTTACTTGATGTTACTTCATGTTAAGGCTAATACAAATGACAAGGCTAAGGCTGTAATGCTAACTAACGTGCTTGCTACTAGCTAGGTAGCTTACTTGATCCAGCGCACTCCTGTCATCCTTTCGTCCTTTCATCAGACGGGAAGCGAAAGAACGACAAACTGTTTTGTGAAATGCTGTGGTGTTTCCTGGAATGCTGTGGTCATACTTGCCAAACCTCCCGATTTTCGCGGGAGACTCCCGATTTCACTGCCCTCTCCCGGTTTCCTCCCTGGGTCATATTTCTCCCGCATTTCTCCCGATTTCTGACAAAATCAGATTTACTCAGGACTGTTTCCACTCGGACTTTAATACAGCTACACCATTGTTTGGTTTCCATGGTAGCGCGTCTCTGTAGTAGCGCGCGCAACTGAAAGTCTGAGAGGGTGAGGCAGATAGTCACAGAAAAACTAAACAAGCATCGACAACTCTACCCTCTGCACACTCCTTTCCTGGCTGTGGTGTTTTGTGAAATGCTGTTTTGACTTGCACTTCAGGGCCACCGTAATGACTTTATGCTATGACAACATGTAAAAAAATCTTCAACACTGTCTTCTTTCTTTTTTGTCCAGCATTTAATTTCCCCCAATGATTAAATAACTTCCCCCCCCAATCACTGTATTGTGGTCATCTTATTCAAACAAACTGCTTCAATAATCCATCACCTGATGAAATGAAACATAAATGACATCACGGGGTGAGTCAATCACAGTGTATCTAAAAGTATATTTTATAATATTTTCCTTTCTTTTCAGGTGTGGACAGCACGAAATCCAAACAGTACGTCCCCATCTCCGAAGGCACCAGGCTGTGGACTCTGACCTTCAGCAGAGACGGTGTCAAAGACAGAACCCCCCTAGTTCTGCTCCACGGGTTCGGGGGGGGCGTGGGTCTCTGGGCTCAGAACCTGGACTCTCTCTCGCAGCAGAGGCCCGTCTGGGCTGTGGACCTGCTGGGCTTCGGGCGGAGCAGCAGGCCTCGGTTCTCCACAGACGCCCGGGAGGCAGAGGAGCAGTTTGTGGAGTCCATCGAGCAGTGGAGGGCTAAAGTAGGGCTGGAGTCCATGATACTGCTGGGCCACAACCTGGGGGGGTACCTGGCTGTGTCATACTCCATTAAATACCCTGGAAGGTGGGTAAGGATGGGATTTCTCTTAACGTGCTGTTGGGTTGTGTTGAGGGATGCCCCAATGTATCGGCCCTATTATCCCTTATTGATACATCAGCAAATAAGGAGACATGCGACAATTTTCATCCGATTTGCCATGAGATTTAGTACTGTTGAAGTCTGTTTAGTAAAATTTAAAACTTGTGAAAATTTAAAACTTGTGATTTTCGAGAAAAATAAAAACACGAGCTTGGTGATCATAGTAAGCATTTAGCAGCTATGGACAGCGTTGGAAGCCTCCTCTTTGCTGCAGAACGTCTCTCATTAAAAGTGTTCTAATGTTTTTAACTCACATTTTTCTGATTATATAATCAAATGCGCCGTCCGCTAGAGTCTGTAGATATGCTCTCCAGATTAACAGCAGCATGAAAATAACCTGCTGATGCTCCATGGTGGAGGCTACGGTAGAAATTGCCGGGATTCGCGTTTTTACCCACTTAATGTCTGACCAATTGTTGAACAGTATTTCCGTTCACGTGCCTTTTGTTAACAGTTTATAGTCTGTTTGAGGTTTGCCTCAGGTGTCGATTGGCATATTTCGTGTCAACATCTCGTCGACGACAACAACAAAACATGCCATGTATTTACTTGTTTCTACAGAGTGAAGCACATTGTGCTGGTGGAGCCCTGGGGTTTCCCTGAGCGCCCCGACACAGCAGAGGCTGACCGGCCCGTCCCGGTGTGGATCAAAGCTCTGGGGGCCATGTTCAGTCCCTTCAACCCGCTGGCCAGCCTGAGACTGGTTGGACCTCTAGGTGAGGCTGAAACAAGATGCAGACAAAGACTCTCAAGCTGCTTTGATCCATGAGAGGAGGAGAAGCTTCAATGTTCTTTAGTAGCTGCAACACAACAGGGTCCAGGGAATACAAATAATACTAGGTGAATTTAAAAGAGTGGAATGTTAATGCAGGGTAATCAAAGAGTAGTTGTTGATTCATAGAGAAAATGAATGAGAAAACTGAAAATGAATGCAGTACAAACGAATGAAAAATTATAATAATCTTAACTCTACAAATTAATCATTGCTCTGTAAAGACAAAAGCAGGCATGGTAAAATTGTTTGCCAATGTTATTTTAGCATAAGAGCTAAAGTATTCATATTTTTTTCTTACAGAAACTAGTTACTATATTACTGATCTAGTCATATGATACCCGGACTTTGTGCCTTTCAAAGCCCCCTGCAGTTTATAACCATGACAAATGTAATTAACCAGCCTCATCCTATAATGGTTGTGACCCTCAAACATCCCTGCAGGGCCCACTTTGGTCCAGACTCTCAGACCTGACTTCAAGAAGAAGTTCTCTTCAATGTTCAGTGACAACACCGTGTCAGAGTACATCTACCACCTGAACGTGCAAACACCCAGGTCAGTCTCCCTCCCTGTCCCTGCCGTCTGAAAGTCATTTATAAAGGAGTTTGGTTGCTGTCACTTTTGCCTTGTCATCAAAATCTGCCTTTGTTTGCCTTGTTTTTGTCACAGTGGGGAAACGGCCTTTAAGAATATGACCACTCCTGAGGGCTGTGCTGTGAGGCCGATGCTGCAGAGGATGGAGCAGCTCCCCCCTCGGATCCCCCTTACCATCATGTACGGGTCCCGCTCCAGCATCGACAGCAACCCATGCAGCAGCATCAGAGAGATGAGGCCGCACTCTCATGTAGAGATCACAGTAGGTTCATTGTGCCTTAATTTTTGTTTGAATCTACAGTAGATCATGTTAAACTGTGTATTTAAAGGTCCGCTATTATACTATTTTTCATCAATATTTGGTAGTTCTCAGCTATATACAAAACATGTCTCTGAAGTGTTTGGCTCAAAATACCAAGCAGATCATTGTAGCATCCCATAATCCCCTCTGTTTCAGCCCTGTTTCAAAAGTGCTGATTCTCTGTCTGTTACTTTAGATGAAAATAAGGAGCCCCTCCCCACGCCCTCTGAGAGATATTTGGTTACAAAGAACGCAATGGTGCTCTAGGAGGAGATTCAGGTGATAACGGGGGGGGGGGGGTTACCTTGGTTGGTTATTGGCTAATGGCCAAACCAAAACAAACCAAAACGTCGTTATGACACCAAAAAGTGGCCAAAATCTGATCAGCTAATTTTCTTACAGGTTTTTACATAAATGGATCAAGACAAAAAGAGAGTGGGTCTTTTTTCCTGAAACTTTCCGAATCTCTTCACGCAGAGGGGACACTATTTATGTATAAAAAACATAAAAAATTGGATTTTGCATAATAGGTGATCTTTGTGGAAAAACTATTGAAATCCCTTTGTACTGAGTGCCTAAGAATACCTGTCTGTTTTCTAATCTAAGAATCACATGTACTGAAACATTACATTTTTAATCCAAATCAATTTACATTCACTTCAATATCAAAGACATACTTAAGTATCTTGCTTGAAAGACATTTAGACATGTTGGGTACAGCGGATGTGGATAGAACCACTGACCCTCTGGTTGGTATTTGCCCATTTAACACCTGAACCACAGCCGCTACATACTGTAACATCACATTTTATTTTGCTTATGCTTTTTTCCAAAGCGACTTGGCTATCAATTTGAATGTTCAAAATGCCTTTTGATAGCTGTGGGCATTGCTCACTCGTAATGAGCTTCCTTCTGTGTTAACAGACGATCCGTGGAGCCGGACATTATGTATTCGCTGACCAGCCGGAGGACTTCAACCACACACTTTTGAAAGTATGCAGTAAAGTGGACTGAAGCCTGGCTCCTGACCACTGGAGGAAAAGGGAAGCGCCAATGACAGACTCTTTTTCAGCAGAGGAAACAAAAGATTGCCCTTCCTCAAAGAAGGGATGATGAGTGTATTTTTATAACATGTGAAAATATGTCAAGTGCGTATTTCTGCATATTTGTGTCAAAGAATGCAATAAGTAATAAGTGTGTGTCTGGATATAACCATAGACACACACAGACACTTCAATTCCCTTGGCAGATTAAAAGGCAAATTTCCCATAAAACGTGCTTCCAATGGAGAGAACAACCTGAATAAATGATTTCCAAATCTGAGCACCACTTGCTGTTAACTATCAAGCTGACACCTCCTCATGTACTTTTCCCAGAGTCCGTTCCAGGCAAAAAATGAGAATCCATGGGTGGGTATTGTGGAGTCCTGGTTTAAGGAATCAAGGCAAGTCTCAGTGAAAACCATGACGTTACAGTTCATGTTTCCTCAGTCTGACTCAAACTCCAGTCCAGGAGCCTCGCCTCATTTCTCACCTGCGCTGCCCAGGTAAAGCAGCAGCAGGTAACCATGACTTGTTATCGGTTTTGGTGAAAGACTGCTGTCTACCAAGGTTCTGATGGGTAAACGTTTGTCTTTATCATATCACATATAGATGATAGGGCTTGCTTGGGCGGTTTGCTTGTTGTGAAAAAAACATTCAAACAAGCGACAAATCGGGGGTCGCCAAAGACAAATCTTTGGCGACCCCCGCCAGACCTCAGATGATTTGAGACCTAATATCATATTTAGAATAAAAAAATTAAAAAAATGTACATATCATTTTTTTTACATATTGTAACGCAATACATGATTGGCGCTAAAAGCCTTGTCTACATTACAATAAAATATAGAAATTAATTGATTAACTAAAATTAAAATTCAAAAATACTCCTCCGATTGGCGCCAACGTTGACGTTACTGTGTCAGCTTTCATAATAATAACAGTTTGCTGCGCTTGCTAGCTAGCGACCGACTTCATAAGGTGAATATTTTTGTCTAAAAATGTCTGAAAAACGTAAAGGAGATGACAGCTCATCTGCAATCAAAAAGAAAATGAGGACCTACCTAGAGAGCTATCTTAACTTCGGTTTCATGGAGGGAACGGACAAAACCCGCCCAGAGTGTGTGATATGCAGAGAGAAGCTAGCCAACGAAAGCATGAAACCCAGCAAAATGAAGAGACACCAACAGACCATGCACCCAGAAACAGTCGGGCGTGATCGGGACTTTTTCATAAAGAAACACACCTTGCAAAGGCAAACAAGCCAATGGATATTAGAACAGCGTTTGTTAGGGCTGGCAGCGATGCACAGAAGGCCACCGAGGCCTCTTTTGAATGTGCACTTTTAATAGCAAAGGCAAAGAAACCGCACAACATTAGCGAGC